CCCCACCCACCATACAGTCCAGACCTTGCTCCTTGTGATTTTTTCTTATTCCCTCGAATCAAAAAAGAACTGAAGGGGATAAGGTCGAAATTTGGCAAGAGCAGTTCAGGCAGTCGTTGAAGGTATCCCGAAAGAGGACTACGAGAACTTTTTCCAGAGTTGGCGAAATCGGCTAGAACGTTGTATAGAGTTTAATGGAGAGTACTTTAAAGGAATGAAATAGTTTTATTGATAATTATTATGTAGTTCTGGAAATAAAGGTCCACGCGCAAAACTTTTCAAAACTCCTACGTATATACGATGGAAACACCTAATAAACCGACGATTGAAAACATTCAACGGGCGTTCACTATGATCTCTAATGTGAACACTTACAGCATCGATGCAGTTCCAGCAACATACGATTATACACCGCTCGTAGAACAATTGCATTTTCATGACAAAGATGATACACTTATCCCGCTCGTCGCAGGCTGTGCTTATGAACATCACCACGAGAAAACACATCATCTACAGTCCAAGCACAGTCTGCTCCACACCGTCAAGTCGCCCCGGCGAAAAAGCAAGAATACATAATCACAGTCAGGAGGAGGAATTGGTTGCGGTCTGCGACCATGGATGAGCTGCGACACTACCAGCAACAAAGACTTATTATTATCAACATTTACACGGTGCCAAGATTTAAACTCACCGTCATCAGACATTCCAATCGGTCACGATCCTCGAATTCATACAAAAATTATCTGACCGAAGATGAGCTCGACAGGATCTGTTTCCATTGTCGATAGTAATGACGTATTTCTTCCCTGAATGCTCAACGGTATTCCAAACGAAGGAGACGCGATTGTAGCAATTTCAAACTAACATTATTGTGTGGCGATAGTCACAGGACAACAGAAAAAAAAAGACGGGCATAAAAAAGAAACGACGATATATATTGGTTGTTTTTTTTTTCGCAAACATTTTCCATTGATGAAGAAGACGATTGCACATTTGTCATCTGGAAAAACATAGGTAGACAGATAAGCGATAAATTAGTAATTGATGCTAAATTAGAATAACTAGTCAGTTCAGAAGTATTGCCAATATCGGAGATGTTCAATTATTATTAATAAACGCGTATCTGTTTGCTCTGAACCAAATTTTTTCGCAAACCTATCCCTGAATAATTCGCATAGCGAACAAGGTTAATCGTATTCTTGTTCTGAGTGGCAGTTAATTATTTCTTATCAACGCGTTACTTCCGAATTAATCCACCAGTAGAAAATCGCTCGAGGATAGGATTAATGCACACACGATTTAGGATAAAGGTCATTAACTGTTTGTTCCGACAAGGTGAGCCACGCACTTCGAAATTACAGCTAAATCCTTAACCGAGTTTAATAGCCATCCGCTCTCTGGTTGACTCAACTGCACGTTGTTCCTGGAATCAATATTATTCATGCATAACGAAACCTCGTTAGACTTCCCCGATTACAGTTCTAAGCTATATCTTCCCATACCTCGGGCTTTGATGCTAGTTATATCCCACTCGGATATATACCAAATTCCAATACACTCAGCATAAAGCCGAGCAAAGAAATGTGGTGGAGATAATTGACGGGAAATTATATTATGTATTGATGAAGTTAACCGATAATATTAGCATTACGATGTAACTCAAACTATAGTTTACTCTGACGATGCCGATTGAAGTAAAATATGTTGATGTGATTATTTCGCATGATTATCCATGCAAGCGAGCAAAAATAGTTGTAGACCACACTAAAACTCGCAAATTTGATAAACGCAATGTTTTCTCCGTCTTGGTATGCCAACGATTTTAACAAAACAAACTATTCCATACTTGGACTAAACCACTTTGTGCTATAATGTAGAAGTTACACTTTATTTGTTATATTTAAGCATCATAATCAGTAGAAATGACATTATCAGCAAAACGATGCAAAATCATTCTGCACACACGCATATGAAAACGAGGTTTTCATATCTCATGTTGCGAATATGTTCAATCTTTGCGGCCAACACTATATGTCTTGTCTTGTCTTATTTCGCTATTTATCATGGATCTGTTTGGTCACCCCACATTTTTTGTTGATGAGATCGACATCTAATCTTATCAGTAAGCCACAGATTAAGATGGATTTCCGCTAAAAAAATTTCTTGTGGCTTTACAGAGACATGTCTATTAAAGCAGGAATATTAGGCGCTACAGGAACTGTTGGCCAGCGTTTCATACTCCTTTTATCCGCTCATCCGCAATTTACTATAAATGCTCTCGGTGCTTCCGCGCGTTCTGCTGGTAAAACATACGAAGAGACTACAAAATGGAAGCTGAGCAGTGATATACCGGAAGAAGTAAAGGGGATGATGGTAAAAAATTGTGTGCCAGAGGAATTTAAAGAATGTGACGTTGTGTTTTCTGGATTGGATGCTTCAGTTGCGGGAGAGATTGGTAAGAAAAAGAAGAACCAATAAGAAGTGGGATAAGTAGGAAAGAGGGTATGAGGGATAATTCGTGCTCACTTATAGTTTACATTTCTCTACCATGTTCCAGAAATGTCGTTCCTCCTGGCTGATTTGGTCGTTTTTTCGAACGCGAAAAATTACCGCCGCGATCCAACTGTCCCGCTAATTGTTCCGACCGTCAACGCATCTCACTTTGATCTAATCGCTCATCAACGCAAACTCCACTCTCTCCGCAAGGGATTCCTTGTAACTAATGCTAACTGCTCCACCACCGGACTCGTAGTCGTCCTGAAACCACTTCAAGACGCCTTTGGTCCATTGGAATCTGTGATCGTTAACACTCTCCAAGCAATTTCTGGTGCTGGATATCCCGGCGTGGCATCATTAGACATATTTGACAATATTGTTCCATACATCAGTGGCGAAGAAGAAAAGATCGAATGGGAAACACTGAAAATTCTGGGAGGTATTAATGAAGCCAGGAGCGCTTTTCAGTTGTTGTCGGAAACAAAAGTCTCGGCGACGTGTAATCGTGTGCCCGTGTTGGATGGACATACAGAATGTGTCTCGGTAAAGTTCAAGAGAAGGCCGCCACCTTCAGTTGAAGAGGTGGTAAAAGTATTGGAGGAGTATGTTTCTGATGCGCAAAAGATTGGATGTTATTCTGCTCCAAAGAAGGCAATCGTGGTTAGCCGACAGGATGATAGACCACAACCGAGACTAGATAGAGATAGCGGAAACGGGTACAGTGTGACTGTCGGTAGAGTGAGAGAGTGTGGTGTTTTAGACATCAAATTTACTTTGTTGGCGCACAATACTATTCTTGGTGCCGCGGGCAGTGGGATATTGAACGCAGAGATTGCATTGGCGAAGGGCATATTGGTCGTCGATGACCATTAAAAAAAAACTATTAAAACTTTTACCTTAGTAATTTTATACGTAACTCGTATTGTGTAGTACGCACGTGTTTACCGCACAGATAGCATAACATTTGAATTTAAGGTCAAGCGGAGAGAACATTTGTTAACATCTACTGTAACATATAGATAGCGTTTTTTCCCGCATCCCAGCATTGAGGATATTAATTAATAGAAACGTCAATCGCTAGAAGCAATCATTTAGTCATTCGTTATTGTATTCTATTTTATCAAAATAAACTGCAAAAGTGAAATAAACCATCAAATTCTGAACAAACCATTTTTTAAAACATTGAAGAGGTTATTTTTTTTTCAGGCTTGAAAATGAGTTACTATTCCACCAGAAAAGATTCGGCTAACGACAACATGGTGTTCGAAAGATATTGGCGAGTAATTTATTAGTTCCATTACTGCATTCACGCGACTGAATATATAGTGATTCCTATTGGCTGAATTGACATGTATTAAAACGCGCGCACTTTATTTGTTTGCTTTTTTGGTAACGTAGTTAAAATGTCAAAGAACAAGAAAGCCGAATATCCAGAATTTTATTGTTGCTACCTCTTACGCTCACTTCAAAGCAAACACAGGAATTACGTATACATTGGCACGACCCCGAATCCCATACAACGACTACGACAACATAATGGAGAGATAGCAGCAGGCGCACACAAAACCGAGAAAAAACGGCCATGGGAAATGCTTTTGCTCGTGCATGGTTTTCCTACCAATACTGCGGCTCTACAAGTAATGTCATCATGTAATTTATTACGCGTCGAGATGCTTGCATAATAAGCCCTCATTGCTATTCAAACATTTTACTTTCAGTTCGAATGGGCGTGGACATATGACCACTACTCTCGCCATTTCCCCGGCCGCCTTACGAACCAAAAGACCTCATTAAAAAGTCGATTAGACGTGTTACATGAAATGTTGCGTTTAGATGTATGGAATCGATGGCCATTGGCGCTGCATTTGGTTGCTGCAGACTCGAATCTCATCAATACAGATATGCTTCCAAAACATATTAAAGTCACATCGGGTCCTTTGCAGACTATGAGATATACGTTTGCCGATAAGGGCCGTGCCGAAAGTAAATAATTTGTGATTCATAGTCATCGATGGTTAGTCGACTAAAACTGACGTTTCCGTACTTGTACCCTCTGAAAAAAAAAAGGCGAGAGAAAGCACGAACAGCTACAGAAATATTTTTTCCATCGGGAAAAAAAGTCCAAATGTTCCCTTTGCCCCGAGCCGATTTCGATCGAGGTATATTGCGTGTTTTTGTAGCGGCCGAATATGGCAAGGAATTAATACGCTCTTTACCAGCGCATGTTTCTTAGTTGAAGTTAATCATGATCAATCCATTCCATCTTTGTAATAGGATCATCACTCGTACTTCATCTGTCGAGAAAAACACTGTAAGATGATCAGTCATAGACAATGTCTTGCAAAAGCTTTTCTTCAAGAGCGCGATCCGTCCCCCTCCCAATCGTCGAAGAAATACCTTTTACCAGTTACCGGGCAATGTCCTGCCTGCAAGAGCAAATTATTATGGGGCCATCTTGCAAGAGATGTGGAGGTAAGAATTGACGCAATCCACATAGAATCTCTGGTATCACATTACAAGCGACTACAGGTGAACGCCGATTAGTGGGCACATTTAAGTCATGTATTTGGATTAATTCTGTTTAATTAATATTTGTTGAAAGTTTTTCAATAATAAAAGTTCGTAACAAGTATGCAATTTCGATTAAAAAAAATAATACTCATCTTGCGATAAAGGAATACAAACTTTGAAGTAAATACACTATGAATTCAAATATGTCTTTCTACTATTCTTTCCCTCGGTTCTATTTCAATCTCTCAAATCGTTCAAGATACGCAAAATAGCCAAGAATAGATTAATAATATCCAAGTATAATTCGACAGCAGCCATTACGTACTCCTCTGGACTTAGCCTATGCATGAGGTTGTAAGTGTCAAAAATAATATATCCACAGAAGACTATCGCAATTCCGGTAGCAAGAATTAAATCAAAGGTCTTGTTGAACGGAATAAAGATCTGCACAAATCCTAGAATTACGACTAGCCACAATGCGCCATAGAGAAATGGGAACATGCCACTAAAGTCCCATTGGGTTTGGAGAGTGAACAGAGTCAAAGCGACAAAGATGCTGAACGTTATAATTAAAGCTTGAAGAACGAGGACTTGCGAGTAAAAAGTGACTGGAAACGGAAATATGTTTGTTCAGTGTTTGTTCAGTGTTTGTCACGTGTACTTGAGGCATTTTAACGGAATAACTGCGCGAATCAACTTACCGGTCACTCCTATAGAATAAGCCTCAGCAAACGTAAATAGACCCAGAAGAATATAATTTGCCGGATAAGATCGACGCTTCCAGATCAAGGCAAAAAGAAGGACAAACGTTGAAATGAGAGAGACCCATACAGCCCAATTGCTGTGTATGAAATAATGTGATGAAACTTAGTACATTCAACGCGGGGAAAAAGAAAGACAAGTTACAAAGTATACAAACTTTGATTGAACCCAATTTTTAGCAGATTCGTTATACATAAATACAGCGCCCATAATCATCGTCAAGAACAGTTGAACCGCAAGAATGGAATATACCTTGCGGACAAAAGCTGTTGTTATTACAACAAAAGAACGGCAAATTAGACATGGCTTCCACAAGTGATTTCTAACAAAAAGACTTGCAAAAACAACTGGTGCGGCGACACAATGTCTCGTCTCGTCTCTAACGGTTCTCCCATTCTCTCGCTCCGGGGGACGACCAAGACTAATTCCTTTGGCTGCCAGACTTACCCATTCTAATACCAATATCACATTGACCGACCGAAACTCCGATTTTAAAATCATCGGGTACATTGTCGTTCTCCCACTCTCTACCTAGAAACGGTTCGCGAGCCGAAGACGTTCCCGCACTGTCAGTCTGTACGTACTCCGGTGGAGGCGCAGTATAGACGGGGCCTTGCGAGTTAGAGCCGTAGGACATGCTGGGCAGGTAGAATGTTCAAGTCAGAGTTGATTTCTCAGGGAGTTTGATGTGATATGAATATTTGTAATTGACAACGCCTACTGCGTGGGAGAAGCTTTTCCAGTAAAGATATACGACAGTTCATTGAATATGTTACACTAATGACGCAATAAATTCCGATGGTTTTTAATTTTAATTTTTTTTGGGCGGGTTAAAAAAAAAAAAAGTTAAAAAAAATTGGGGGAAAAATTAAACATTAATATAAATTAACAATGTCTATTAAAACTCCTCGTGATGAGGAGGAATGCATAGAGGAGAACGTCGCCAAGAAACGGAAAATTACGTCGTCAAAAGATAACGACGATATACAATCATCCACTACACAAATGCGACTGCGTATAGGCAACTTGCCCCCATACACAACGACAAAAACGTTAAAGAAATTTCTTAATGTATTGGAAATACTAGATCCGAAAATATCTAAAGACCCAAAAAAGAATTATGCCTTTGTCACCTTTAAGGTAAAAATATCTTGGATGAAATCGATGCTATGCACACAATGTCTTTCTCTTACGTCGCTTGACAGATCGTTTCAATTAAAACGTACAATGACAGAATAACGAAGACCTGTCGGCGGCAAAGGGAAAGGTCGACCAGGCATTGTTTAAAAAGAATTGTTTGCGAGCCACAATAGAGACGTTTGATATGAAGGTATCTTGTTAATCGTACAGAATGGCATAATATAAGTCTCTGTGTTATATATTCTCATGTCGGCTTTTTTCGTATATCAGGACCAACAAGCTTTCTATGAGAGACGTGCGGCTCAAAGACAAGTCGAATTGGAGGAAGATACGCGTCTACCACACGAAAAATTGGCGGACCAAGTGACACCCTTATACAAGTAAGGGATGCGACGAACGGGCATGTAATGCCATCTCGAGATAGCATGTTATTTATTTTCTCCCATACTTTTCTGTGGGTCGAATTTCAACTAGACTACCATATTCAGAGCAGTTGGTCAAGAAACAAAAGGCGATAACCCAGATTCTGCACAAATTCCGTAATAATATGAGAAAGCTGTCAAATGTTACTCCCGAAATCTTATCCGTTTTCGAAGCGTAAGTTTGGTCTGGTCTTTATGGTATTATTGGACATTCATATTTAATGTACTAAATTAAACTCTAGGCGACAAGATAAATTACCGTGCGAGGTGTTGGATATAATAGCGTCACCTGTAACAGAAGGTTATCGAACAAAATGCGAATTTACCATTGGCATTAACATAGCGGGGGAAAAGGTCGTTGGATTCTTGCTCGGTCGATTCAAGCAGGGATATACAATAGTCGAGGTGCTAATATTTTGAATATAAATAATTAGTAGAACATCGTGCCGTGCGTGTAGCGTCTTTTTAAAGAAAATGGATATTTTTTGGTTTTCGTGCATCCCCTAGGAGCCAACACATTGCCTGCATGTATCGGAAACAGCAAAGAAGATCGCCAAGGCAACGCAGGTATAAAAAAAAAAAAAGAGTAAACTGCAAATAATCCACATTATGTTGGTAATAACAAAGAGGCGGTAATTCGTTGAACAGGATTATGTCAGAAAGTCTAGCTACGATGTGTACGATAGAGCAACGAAAGAAGGTGAGAAATCGTGTTGAATTAAACATGCTGAAAAAGATATACTGATTACTCTCTTTCTCAAGGCCATTGGCGACTAGTGGCTGTCAGGACACAAAGAAGTGGTGAAGGTAATGTTTTCAGCAACCGCACGTTACGACCAAGACACCGTTCTCTTATCTAACACGATCATCGCTCTTTCAGTTATGGTAATACTACAATTCCATCCACAATCTCTATCGACAGAGGAAATCGACCGGCTTAAACTTGACATACGGGAATATTTCTCTAAAGCAAGTAGTTCATATGGATTCTCGGTAACCTCGCTCTTGATCCAAATATCATCCGAAGTAGCTGACGGGTTGTCTCCCAAAGCGTCTCTCGATTTGTTACATGGATCTGACCACATTCACGAAGAATTATTAGATTGTCGGTAAGCATCGCATGTTGATCTATCCTTCCTCATTCTCCGATTCTATGTGTGTGTGTATGTGTGTGTTGTCTCTGCCCTAACGACTCGTACCAACATATTGTCAAAGATTTCGTATATCGCCGAGAGCATTTTTCCAAGTCAACACAGCTTGTACAGAACTTTTGTATGCAAAGTGTCGCGAATGGGCGCAATTGAACGATTCGAAAACATTACTGCTAGACCTTTGTTGTGGGACGGGAACCATCGGAATCACCATGGCAAATCACGTTGAAAAAGTTGTTGGAGTCGAGATGGTGCCTGAGGCTGTGGAGGATGCGAAATTTAATGCCGAGTTGAATGGTAGGATATATCATTACTGGTTTACAAAAATTGGAGCGAAAAAAGAAAACGAACTTGCAAAGAAAAGGATTTATGTTATATAAACTATGCTCTATACCCGATGATTGACTGCTGTTTTTTTCGGTGTAGGTTTGAAGAATGTTGATTTTATCGCGGGAAAAGTTGAAGACAATATTGATGTGTTTAGACGTGAGAATGAATCTGTAGTCGCAATAATGGATCCTCCACGGTAATAATTTATCATGATCATGTCGAGATTGTTGCAAATGCGAATGAAATTTTGGTAAATTGCCTTTTTTATTCAATTAGTGCTGGAGTCCATCCGAGCGTGATCAAAGCCGTTCGAAGTTGCGATGCTCTAAAGCGTGTTTTATTTGTCGCATGCGATGCGGAAGCTGCCATGAACAATTTTATAAGGTAAAAAGAAGGGGGGGGGGGAGATGCATCAATGAAACTAAAATTCCTTACCGAAAATTCAATGAGTTTATTTAACTCGACGTTTTCTTTTTTTATAGTCTATGCCGACCGCAATCGAACCAATGGGCTGGAAAGCCGTTTTATCCTAAACGTGCTGTCGCTGTTGACTTGTTTCCGCACACGAACCATTGTGAATTGTTAATAGCTTTTGAACGTGACTGACGTGAAGTAAAGACAACAGACTGTGAATAAAGAACATCATACTTTTTGCATTGCGGTTCATGATTAGAAAGAGCGTGGCCAAGCTCTTTGGTATTCGGCAAGTGCCCAAAGTTAAACAGAACCGACTTTTTGTCCCAACGAAGCGTGCGATGGTTTTCTTGATTTGGTCCTTTGATAGGACATTATATTACAGCCGCGACTAACTTGTTCGGTTTAGATGAAATAAATAGAACTAAAGCAATGTTCAAATTTAATTTATTCATATAATAAATAATTGTTCATTATTCCATACATTACAATTATATCAATTTAATGTTTACGATTTTTTCCAACTTGTTCTTTTTCCTTTTTATCAAATCTTCATAAAAAATTCAGTCATACGTATAAATACATATAAAATGCCTGTACGTTGGACATTAATATTAATGGATTTGCGTGTATTTATCTCTCTTTGCTGCTGCGTTAGAGAGATTTGGAGAGGCAAAAAAGGGGGGTGGCGGTGATGTGTTGGATGTGTTATTACAAGTAGCAGAGTAGTCCTCAATTCTATCCGGCCCCTGTATTAGTAATGTCAGGACTAAACTACTACAAGATGGTGAGGATATGCGCTCTTAAACTTTTAATTGATGGTAGATTATGACATGACATAATTTATTAATTAAATTTTATCACCCCCCCCCCCCTTCCACGCGCGATGGCTCGCCGTCGAAAAAAATCTACAGATTGTCATTCCAAGGAGGGGCGCGGCAATAAATAACTTTGCAACCCTCTGTTAAAATGTGTCGCTGACGTTGCATACGTGCGCGAGTGTGCGTGCGCGCGTGCGTGAGGTGTGGTGAGTGAGTGTGGTGCGCGAGTGAGTGACTGAGTGCTCATGGCGATGAAATTCGTAATACGACGATCGAATGGCAAAAGCACAGGCCAATGTGTGCTGATTGTGCGTGTATGAGTGAGGATCGGTGAGGGTGAGTGCTGAGTTTGGTGTGAGTGATTGTTGGGTTTTTTTGCGCGAGTGGAGTTAAGGGAGTCGGTTTTTTATACATTTGTGGCAAAAATCACGTGGTTTTTAATACCTAGAAAAAATTTCAGTCATGTGAGTGACATAATTGCTATGTGACATGCACAAAGTCCGTTATACTGTGGTTCGGAAAATATTTGGTATAACAATATATTAATATTAATATCGAATTTATTAAGTTCGAAGAATGCATCAAGATTTGTTTGTTTTATTTTCATTTGTTTTTAGGGCTATTACCGTAGAGCACTGAATATAGTACCCCGGGTACATTTAAAAAATTCTTGAATAGTACCCGAGTCCTAATATAGTGGGGTACTATTTAAGGGGGGTACTATATTCAGTGCTCTACGGTACTTTCTTCAATTTGTCAAATTGCATATTAATATGCAACTTGATCTCTATTATTAATATTGTTATTATTATGGAGTATAGCAGATTCGGTCACTTTAATACGGATCACTGGAATTTATACTGGATTAGACGGATCTACGCTTTATTATTAACTATAACAGACTCCGTTTTAATTCCGTTATTGAACAGTGTCTCGTTAAGCTCCTGAAATACAGCATTTATATTTAATTAGTAAAACTCTGGTCCAAGAAAAAAAATCCGTACTAAGCGAAATCCGTTATATCAACAATTCGTTACCTCGACTTTTACTGCAAAAGCGATTATTATTATCTGACCAAGTTTAATATAAATAATTGCGCATATTTTTGACTTTGGTACGGAAAAGTCAAACACAAAGTATCCGAAATTCGAAGCGAGGACTAGCAGTAAGTAATTAGTGGACAATAAACTATATCAATATTCTCGAAGTAATATGTAAAACCTTTTTCTTTCAAACACGTCATGATTCAATCAGTTGCTTCAGATCTTGCCACTTCTAACGGAATTTATAACAGATACTCTCCAAAGTCAATATTTTGCTGAAAAAACTCGCAAATGACTCTTGGTTATTTAGCTTCTTTAATAATAATTCTGGTTGGCGTAGCATTTAGCTTATCTTGTCCGTAATTATATAATCGTTAATTTCGATGTCATGTGCAAGACAAAAATATTTGTCTCGTTTGTATCAAGTCGTTTGTACGATCATATTTCCCCACAGTATGACATTGCCGTTTGCGGCTTGGATCGTCGATCAGTATTATTGGGCATACTGTATACAATGGTTAAGTGCAACCTCAGGTAAATGATTGTTTACGCTGAAGAACCGAGATCGTCGAGAGAGTAATTAAACAAATATCCTTATTTCGATTATAATGTGTAAACACTTCAGTTTTTAACGTTTTTTATTGTAGAAAGAAAAGGTGAATACTAGACATGAAAGGCTCGTTACGAATAAAATCTAAGGAATCATCGACTAAAAACACGGATATGCATCCGACTTGGAATGAACAGAGTGTATGAACAGCAGAATATGCTTCCCTTATATGAGCAGATGTGGTTGAGGATGCTTAATAAATGGATGAAGAAATACAAGCTTATTGTACATATATGCAGAACCATACATAGATTGCGCTAACCATCAAACTAAATTATCACGTTGGTTCAATAATTTGTTGGTAAAAGGATAAAGGATAAAGGATAAAAAAATACGTAAATCAATAATAAGCGATGAAAATATTAAAATATGTATGAAATAAAGACATAAAAAAGACAAAATTTAAAATTTATGACGTAAAATGCAGTCAGCGGAAAGTAATCTTAGGTCGATACTAAAGAGCGTATAGAATGCTTTTGTGCTTAGTCCTAAAAGCGTAAATAATCCTCCAAACAATGGTCAATGAACGATTGAAGTGGTCAACATCAACCTTCGTGCAAAAGAACGTCGCACGTGAGAATGTAAACCGAAAAATGATAAAAAAAAAAGGAAAAAAGGAAAAGAAAAGAAGAAAAGAAAAGAAAAGAAAAGAAGGGAGTGATTCATCTTAAAACAGACAAGAATTGTAGACATCTCGTTGCGGCTTATATAATATCTAGACAAAACTGGCAATATAGAGCACACCATCCATTGCCGAGTGTCAAAGCCCGTAATGAAAGTCGTTATAAGTCGGCATGACAAGATATTGATGACGAGGATTGGGGGAAAGTTTGGCAAGTACAATATCGTTATCGAGATGGAGTGAGGATTTGTATGTCTGTCTGCAAAAGAATAATCGTACACAAAATATACTTCCATGTTAGAATCATATGCCAATGCTGACGTCACTATCCAAGCTATGCATAACAAAAAAAAAGTATGTTTAGACTTACAATAGGACTTCACAGACATGAGTCGACGTTTCCCAGGACGATGCGAAACGTTATGAACACAGGAGAAAAGGGAATATATATAGTGACTCGGGGAAAGTCGGGCGCAGATTTATGAAAGAGCGTGGGTGGAAGAAAAAAAGTTGTTGGAGATGGGAGTAGAGCGTAAAACCAGGTCGGTTGGGTTGGTTGTCGCCTTGTACGTAATAACGTAAAATGTTTTTTCCACTCTTGTAGAATAGAGATCACTGATATGCTTTTTTTTTTTGGCCGTGAGTACTGACTGACATAACTGTCCGTGATCGGATTCGTATAGCAACCGTTTCGACGCACCAAAACGCACCCGATAGTTTTCCTGTTACTCCATCATCTCCATCGTATCATTACTTGTCAATGAGACTTTTGGTGTGAGCAAAGTGGGCACTTTTATAGCTGCCCGATTCGATGCTTGCCCATGCAAAGACTGTGCTCCACTCCCCCCCCCCTTTGTACCCGTGTGAATTTGCTGTTGTGAATAAAAATGGCTGGCGATATGAACCTTGCATGGAAATGACGGAAAAGAAGAAAAGATGGACATTAGGGATGAGCATAAAGCGAGACTGATGAGACAAGACAACCGAGAAATGGTGTATCGAGTCGCGGGTAACAGGTTAAGCCATTAACTAAGACCTCGATTTTATAAAAATTAAATGCATTCTTGCATTAATAAATACGTACTAGTGCATAGTTTAATTTACTTAGTTTTATCGTTTATTTCTTTATTTCTTTTTTGCAGACATGCAATGGAAAGACAGTTTAAAAATGCCCACTCGATTCATTTCGGGTCCCGCGACTATTTATTCTACTAGTCATCCAACGTGTATGTCGAATCGCCCGATTTGGTAACAATCTCCGCCAAAGAAATTTAAGCTGGGGGTTTGTACTACTTTCACAATTTCGTAACGAAACGACGTGCTCAGATGCGAATCAAAAGGCGAGTTTACAGTTGGAAGAGCAGACGGTGGCAGAGCGAGAGAACTGGGATGGAGAAGGGAAGATAATACGTAAAAAAAAGCTGTCAGATGGGAGAAAATGCAAAAGTCGTGTGTGCTTGTTTCGTAGGCGGTATAGAATTAAAGTTTTAATGTTTACAATTCTTTAACATAACACATGGGTTTCTCCACACCCAATTAATTGGTCTGATCAGCACCTTTTTACTTTTGTAGAGTGACAGATATTAATGACTTTATTGGCTCTGTCTTCGGGATAGTCAAAGTTTCAACAGCTATGGCGCAATCTCACTCGATGCTCTATAACGTACACATCCCTTAATTTAGAAAATCCAATATCAAATATATGTACAATGATGTCAGTTATTGATTACTGTGTATGCGAAAGAATTAACGTATTAGGGCCCAAAACATTCCAGCAAACGGCCCACCGAGACTGTTCAGTTCTGACAGGGAAGTGAATTGCAGTCCCCATTTAGCTTTTTCAAAACATTAATGCTTTACCTCTTGCACAATTCCGTTCAATCGGCCAAGACGAGAGATTGCATTAGGGGTGTCTATGCTAATTAGCATGTCCATACTTGAGAATAGTTAATCTGAAGGATCAAAGTCGGATCTTCCCGAAAGTGATCGTCAAGTTGATCGCCAAGTTGCTCTAGAATGTTTCTTTTTTTTAGAAGTACCGAATTGCATAAGTGTTTCAAAGAGTCTCTCTACCATTGACGGTTGTCATCAATTTC